AGCCTGCTGAGTAGCTGGGATTACAGGCATCTGCCATCACGCCCGGCTAATTTTTTGTATTTTTAGTAAAGACAAGGTTTCACCATGTTAGCCAGAATGGTCTTGATCTCCTGATCTTGTGATCTGCCCGCCTCGGCCTCCCAAAGTGGTGGGATTACAGGCGTGAGTCACCGCGCCTGGCCTTCAAAATTTTTGCATGAAAGAAATGCTGTGGGCAATCAGGAAAAAGAGAAAGTTGAAATCTTGTGGAGGATGTGGGTCTTATATGGCCATAATGAACTGGTAAAGTTTGAGCAGATGAAAGAGGGGTGCGAGAGCATGAGCAAATTCCCAGAGATGGGAAAGTATCTTTTGTGGTAAATAAGTCTGCTTCAACACTGTGACTCAGCCCAGAGAAGCCACCTGTTTTCCCTGGGCATCTTTAGTGGGGCATTGGGCAAAACTGGGTCTCCTCCCCTCTTCTCTCCCTCCCTCGTGGTGAAATAGCTGGGTTTTTTTGTTTTGTTTTGTTCTGTTTTTTGAGACAGGGTCTCGCTCTGTCACCCAGGTTGGAGTGCAGTGGTGCGATCTCAGCTCACTGCAACTTCCACCTCTTGGGTTCAAGTGATTCTTCTGCCTCAGCCTCCCATGTAGCTGGGATTACAGGTGCCCACTACCACACCCAGCTAATTTTTGTACTTTTAGTTGAGATGGGGTTTCACCATATTGGCCAGGCTGGTGTTGAACTCCTCACGTCAAGTGATTCACCCGCCTCTGCATCCCAAAGTGCTGGGATTACAGGTGTGAGCCACCACACCCAGCTTTAAAATATCCTTTTATACACCTGTTTGAAGGCGAATGCAATGAACATCTTGGAATTTTGTTTTAGCTTTATTAAACCTTCTTCTGCTGTACATAATTGGTCACCAAGTCCTGTCAATTATTTTTTCCAAGAGGTCTTTCAAATGTGTCTTATCCTCTTTATTTCCATGGCCATTACCCTAAATTAAACTTCCCTTGCTTACTCCATAAAAGATTCCCTACCTTCTGGCTGTCTTCCTAACTGGGGTAAGTTTAGGCTCTCCCTACATACTTCAGATGTGGAGACCAGCAGCCTCAAGTTGATGTCAAGAATTACTGTGCCAGCGAAGAACACAGCATTATATATGGAGCAGACACTTCCGTCTTCCTTTCTCTGGCTCTCATGTTGGGGCCTAAACCTAACATATCATGTAGTATCTTCCAGATAAGCTGTACTCACTGCAGTTGATACCCCTGATAGGTTCCTAAATTGTAAGATATTTTGAGAGTAATTTGTTACTAATGTCAATTAAAGTGCTGAAATTTACAAGATTTTCAAAAATAAATTAGAACAGATTCAAAGTTATCTCAATAATAACATCTCTATCTCACTTGCACTTCCATATGCTTTGTGAGTGCAAGAGAAAAGGATCAAATTACAGCAAATGTGCCATCCCTTGCACATAACCCCAAACCTTGTCTCTTGTGTGTCACAGCCCATAGTCTGTCATGCCATATGTGAGAATGTTATTCACCATGGCTGTCATGGAAAAATGTTGAGGATTGTTCTTCCATTGCTTTCCAGGACTACTGCTGGAAGAATACAAGTATCTCCCCCAATCTCTATCCTTTTTTTAACGGTTATAAAAATGAGACTTTAAGCATATATGCCATTTCCCCCACAAAACTCTGTCAGACGAGTTTCTAGCTAAGAAAAACAAGAAGCAAAGCATTTACTCCTTTGAGCTGCTGATAAGGGAACTCTTTAATCTTCCTTATTCTTTGTAAATCTTATCACTGCTGTATTTTGTGGTTCCAGATATTCTTGGAAAACATGGAACATGAAGACACTTTTGTATATCTATCTGCAATTCAGGGTAAGTCAGTCCTGGTTAAAGGACTTTGAGTCTGTGGACCAAAGACTGTGTCATGTTTATTTGCACAAAATCCCTAAAGTCCTAGGGCCATGAGACTACGGGTCATTTTATCCATCTTCCTGCCTCCTAGCTAGGACACTTTCAGTCATAATAATAATATTCCTGGAGGGTTTCCAAAGGGTCTCTATAGAGTTTCAGTGTCTCATAATGATGAGGAAGTTTTTATTAATGTTTATTTATTCTATAGATTAAATCGTATTTCCTCTAATTCAAGGAGGTAAAGAATGACTCATGCATGAATTCTTATCACATTAACCTTTTATGTTAGTTGGCTACTGTCTTTTCTTTTCTTTTTTTTTCTTTTTTTTTTTGAGACAGAGTCTTGCTCTGTCACCCAGGCTGAAGTGCAGTGGCGTGATCTTGGCTCACTGCAACCTCTGCCTCCCAGGTTCAAGTGATTCTCCTGCCTCAGCCTCCCAAGTAGCTAGGATTACAGGTACCCGCTACCACGCCCAGCTAATTTTTTATATTTTTAGTAGAGACAAGGTTTTACCATGTTAGTCAGGCTGGTCTCGAACTCCTGACCTCCAGTGATCCACCCACCTTGGCCTTCCAAAGTGCTGGGATTATAGGCATGAGCCACCACGCCCAGCCTCAACTCCTGTCTGTATGCACCTTTGCTCTCTCATTAAGCTAAAAGAACTCAGGGTATTAACTATTTTCTCATCAAAACATTTTTTGCAGTAACTTTATTTCTCTTTTTATGATTCTTTGTTGTTCTCCACATCCCCTTTAACTTGTGGGCTCCAAATCTAAAGAGGATGTAGAGAATAAGGCACTCTTCCCAAAAGGTCCAGAAGCAGACATGGTGAGGTCAGACTTAACTCGGTTTCCCTTGGCTCCGTCAGTGAGATACAGTCGGCAGACCACCTGGGTGGGCCACCCCATTACCGTGCATTGGCAAATTACTTAATCCCTGTGGGCTTCAATTTTTTATCTGTGAAAAGGGGACTAAATAGGAATGTGAAATGGTACTGCCACTTTGGAAAACAGTCTGGCAGTTCCTCAAAAAGATGAACATAGAGTTACTACTTGGCCCAGCAATTCCACTCCCAGGAATATACCCGATAAATGAAAACATATGTCTGCACAAAACCTTGTATGTGAATGTTCACAGCAGTATTATTCACAATAGCCAAGAGTGGAAATAGCTCAAACAGCCATCAGTTGATGAATGGATAAACGAAATGTGGTATATACATGCAATGGAATATTGTTGGCTATAAAAATGAAGGACTGATACATGCCACAATATGGATGAACCTTGAAAACATGGTAAGTGAAAGAAACTGGCCACAAAATACTGCATTTTATATGATTCCAGTTATTTGAAATGTCCAGAATAGGCAATTTTTTAGAGACAGAAAATAGATTAGTGCTGTCCTAGGGCTGGGGCAAACGAGAAATAGTTGAGGGTGATAGGTAAAGGATACAAGACTTCTTTTGGGGGTGATGAAAATGTTCCAAGATTCATTGTGGTGACAGTTTCACAACTCTGTTGAGTATGCTAGGAAACCATTGAGTTATACACTTTTTTTTTGAGATGGAGTCTCACTCTGTCGCCCAGGCTGGAGTGCAGTGGCGCAATCTCGGCTCACTGCAACTTCTGCCTCCCGGGTTCAAGCAATTCTTGTGTCTCAGCCACCTGAGTACAGGTGTCAGCCACCACGCCCAGCCGAGTTAGGAGCTTTAAATGGGTTAATTGTATGGTATGTGAGTTATATAGCTCAATAAAACTGTTATCAAAAAAAAATAAAATAATGTGTTTTTTTTTTTTGAGATGGAGTTTCACTCTTGTTGCCCAGGCTGGAGTGCAATGGTGCAACCTCAGCTCACACAACCTCCGCCTCCGGGGTTCAAGTGATTCTCCTGCCTCAGCCTCTCAAGTAGCTGAGATTACAGGCGTGAGCCACCACACCTGGCTAATTTTGTATTTTTAGTAGAGACAGGGGTTTCTCCATGTTGGTCAGGCTGGTCTCGAACGCCTGACCTCAGGTAATCCACCCGCCTCGGCCTCTTAAAGTCCTGAGATTATAGGCAGGAGCCACCGCGCCTGGCCAAAATAAAATAAAATTTAGTAAAAGCGGAGAGGGCTAAAATTGTCAGCACCTAAGGAAATATGATGACTGAATGTAATGTGATAGATGGGATTCTGAAATAGAAAAAGAACACTAGGGCCGGGCGCAGTGGCTCACACCTGTAATCCTAGCACTTTGGGAGTCCAAAGCAAACAGATCACTTGAGGTCAGGAGTTTGCGACCAGCCTGGCCAACATGGTGAAACCCCATCTCTACCAAAAAAACACCAAAAAAAGTTACCCAGGTGTGGTGGTGGACACCTGTAATCCCAGCTACTTGGGAGGCTGAGGCACGAGAATTGCCTGAACCCAGGAGACCGAGGTTGCAGTGAGCCGAGATCACACCACTGCACTCCAACCTGGGCAGCAGAGTGAGACTCTGTCTCAAAAAAAAGAAAAAAAAAGGACATTAGGGGAAAACTAAGGAAATTTGAATAAATTATAAACTTCAGTTGATAATAAAGTGTCAATATTAGTTCATAAGATGACTTCTATCATAAAATGTTTATTAATAAAAGGGGGTTTAATATTAGGATTAAATGAGTTAATTCCTTGCAACTGCTTGGCACACAGTGTTCAACATGTGTTAGCTATTAATACTTTAGTGTTGTTATCATCGTCAGAATCTTCACTATTACATCTACTGTTGGATGACTAGGTAATAATATGGTGATCTCTGTAACTTCTCAGATCTGAAGCTTGAGTAGGCCGATTCTGTCAGTTATTGCTATTTCACTAACTACCCTGTGGCTCACACCTATAATCCCAGCACTTTGGGAGGCCGAGGTGGGTAGATCACCTGAGATCAGGAGTTTGAGACCAGCCTGATCAACATGGTGAAACCCTGTCCCTACTAAAAATACAAAAATTAGCCAGGCATGGTGGTGTATGCCTGTAGTCCCAGTTACTTGGGAGGCTGAAGCAGAATTGTTTGAACCCAGGAGACAGGGGTTGCAGTGAGCTGAGATCGCACCACTGCGCTCCAGCCTGGGCAGCAGAGCAAGACTTCTTCTCAGAAAACAACAACAACAAACTACCTTGACACTCAGTAACCTGAAACACCAATCATTTATTATCACTCATGCATCTGTAGACCCGCTGAAGTTTCAGCAGGGCTCGGCTGGGCGACTGGCCCCTCGCTGCAGGTCTCAGGCCAGCTGTGGTAGTTGTGCTTCATGTGTTCCTGATCATCCCTGAACCAGTGGCTTACCGGGGTTTGTTCTGCTCATGGTGAGAACCATGAAGTGTCAAAGAGAAACCATAAATTCCAGAGGCTCCTCAGGCCTGACTCGGAGCAGACATCCTATCATTCTGCCTTTTTCTGTTGGCTAAAGCAAGTCATGAGGCCCAACCCAAAAGTTGAGGGATAGAGAAATATATGCTATCCCTTTAGTGGGACACACTTTCAAGTCACATAGCAACGGGCATTGATGCAGTAACACCACTCTTCACGTTGATGTGTTCTGTTTACCTCCCAGAGGCAAGGTTGTCAGTGAGCACAAAGGTAACTGCAGGTTTTTACTGGCTAGTTCTTTCAGGGTATAATGTGGATATGATCTATACAGACTTAGTACTTGAAGCTTGAGAGAGCATGCAGAGGGGAAATCATATAGCGAAGAAGGCGTGAGCCTTGGAGTTCTGGAATTTCTTTTCTTAATTTTTTTTTTTTTTTTTTTTTTTAGAGACAGAGTCTTGCTCTGTCGCTCAGGGTGGAGTGTAGTGGCATGATCATGGTTTATTGTTACGTCTAACTCCGGGGCTCAAGCAATCCTACCACCTCTGCCTCCTGATTAACTGGGACTACAGATGCGTGCCAACACACATCAGGCTAATTTTTTAAAAAACATTTTGTAGAGATGAGGGTCTCACTATGTTGCCCAGGCTTAAACTCCTAGACTCAAACAATCCTCTTATTTCAGCCTCCCAAAGTGCTGGGATTACAGGCATGAGCCACTGTGCCCAGCCAAATTCTTTCTTTATTCAACAAACATATATTGTATATCTCCTATATACAAAACACTTTAGATTAACTGCAAGTTGTAATTAGGTTCAAAAGCAAAAAGAGAATTTTTCAAAGGAGACAAAATGACCACCCAAAGTGGTAAAAGACAATTAGGTGAGAATGAAAGCTCTAAGAGTAACAGGTTTCAAGAGAGAAAGTAATTACCGGCAGCTGAGAGGCCAAAGAGGGCAGAAATTGAGATAGACCTGGGGGTCCCAGATATCACATGACCATAAGTTGTGCTTATGGAAGTCAGATAAATCAAAGAAGCAAGAACCTAAAGTGCTTATAATTCAGAAGTCTCAGAACACATGTCATCCTGTACTTTTCCGAAGAAACTGTACTACTGTCAAGGAGATGCATTGATTTTTTTTTTTAAGACTGAATTTTTGGGAATGGGTGGCATGTCATTCTAATGTGGCCACCTTGCTGTTTGGAATAAGCATCTTAGTTGATTAACCCACTGAGCTCATTAGCCTCTAGGGCCTGCTATCAGAATCACAGCTGTTGGTGTTGTGTTTGTTTTTAGTAATTTTGATTGGTGTGCAAATCAGTTAGTAGCTAATTTGGTGATGAAGAACGTGAGGGGCAGAGGCGTAATTTCTGTTCTCAGCTCCCCAAGATGATGGACAAGTTTGAACTAATTGATGTTTTTGGTGCTGGTAATATGCACTTAAAAGCCAAGGCTTTAGGTGAGTTTCCCATTAAGAAAGAAAATAGCTGAATTTTCCCACCTGCATTGCCAATGTAGTTTGCCTGGGCCTGAAGCACTACAGGAACAAAGCCATTCTGGGCTCCCAGACAGACAAGACCAGCCCTCTTGTCCTGTAGTACAGGGTGGGAAGTGCCTGGTTGTGGTCT